ATAATCAGTATTGAAAGTCCTCTTCGTAGCGTCAGTCCTTTCTATTTGTGTTTGTCGAAGAGGTCCAAGCGCCACCGATCGATTGATGACGTATTCCATTGCTTCGGGAGGCACCCGAAGAGGAGGACGATTTGCTTCTTTATTTTGAATGGTGCTCGCTGATGACGAACAAGACAATGAATAAGACGACTCGAACCACTTGTCGTCACCACTTTTGAACTGCCACAGAAAGTCTGTGTCGAACGAACTCGATGGTGCGATCTTCTTCTTTGCTTCGTGTGCACGGGGTGATGGTGATACTGATATTCTATCACAATTGCTTTTCTCACCGACGGAATTCCCTTGATTCGTATAATCGACGGCCTTGATTAAGCGAGTCCAGCCCATCAAGCTGCARAATCCAGTGAACGTCGCTACAACCATGAGGTAGTACGTCCATACATTCAGAGGAATCGGCAGTTCGTTGAACGGAATCAAGATGAAATTATAATCCGTACTGCTTTCTTCTGCGCTTGGTGTTTTGGTATCACAATCTCTTAGGTCGACAAACATGATTGCCCCCTGTTCAAAACTATCTATGCAACGATGAGCGGTGTTTGGTCCGCACAACATACCGTGAAAAGCTGCGTACTCCTCCAGCGAAGGTGGGAGATGACTCRTATTGTTTTGGACTGGAATGTATGATGAATGCATGGCGGTGTGTTGTAGTTATGACGTATGGTTTGTTACGAAKAAAATTGTAGTAATACGTACGGTAGTTATCTTCGGTTTCTTTTCTGCTTTTTGTCTCCTTGATGGATGTCTTGAAAGTTTGGCTAACTGGTACCGTGCGTKTAATATGAACTTTTTTTCTTCGCCCTCCGATGTCCCTTCTTGTGCGTTTTGTGTGAAGGGTGCCAAAAAATGATCTTTGCATCACGGTGATACGTAGTTACAGYGCAGTACTCATTATTATCTGAAAATAATGCAGTTACAAACTGAGACTGTCATTCGCAATTTGTTGGTTAGCGGGTTTGTGTACTTAACGTTCCAATGCCTTAATTAACGTAATTTCAATATGCTTTACACGTAGTATTAAAAATAATTCGGAACGAGTACGAGTACGCACGTATTATCAATTTGTTTCATTGTACAKTTCATTATGTGAATTCCAACTACTTACTGTATGATTACTGGGACCTGTAATTCGTTCATATAAATAATGAAATAGAACCCCGAACATTATTAATTTCGCAAAAAGCTTACTTAATGTGCTCTTTTAGTCCACGTGCTCTTTTAGTCCTTATGGATTCGGATTCTGAGATGTTCGTGCGAGGTTCTTTTTGAGCATTATCAAGAACGTAAGGGAACAATCAGGGGTACAGGAGATTGAAACTTAACYTTTTCCCGTCGCGTGTTGTTAGTCGCGTGTTGTTAAATGTTGCCAGCCACACSTCCAAAAAAAGAAGAAATTTTTTAACTTTTTTGCCAAGTTGGATTTGTRCTGGAATACACAGGTTTAAAAAGAGACTGAAGTTGTTGTTGTTGCTTTTGGTTGTTATCCTCAGCATCAGCACCAAGACCACCACCAGCAGCAGTTGAAAGGAGTTTTAGTAATACTACTACTAGTAGTACTAGTACTACTACTAGTGTGTCACAAAAAGTGCTTGCGACAAGGTTTGGTTGCAACCCCCCCACAAGTGTAGTAGTTTTTTTCTTGCGAGCACTTACTAGTACTACAGGAGGGAGGAAGTTAGTACTATGGTTATCAAGAGTACTGAGGAACCCCTTTTTGTGATTATTTTTGTGACACGATGCGCTTCACTCTGTGCACCAAATTTATTCGGTTGTATTTAAACCCACACTTGCTCCTTAACAAGAACTGCTTAATATTTTTAATTTGGGRGTTATGATACACAACTTCAACAGTTACTATGACAGTAACCTCYGACTGCAACTCTTGGAATCAAAACTCTAGATTTACACATCATGCAAATTGTAGTATCACTCTCAAATATCTTTGTATTAGTAGTAGTAGTAATAAAAATAGTAATAACAATAAAAATAGTAATAGTAGTGCAAATAGTAATATGGTGTTTAGTGCTAATATTGTTGTTAGTAGAAGTTGTACTAAACTAGTAGTACTACTAGTAGTAGATATTGAAATAGTAGTAGGTAGTTGTAGTAGAACTAACAAGAAGATGCAATTATATCAGTACTAGTATTGCTACTAGTAGTACTACTAAATGGTATTACTACTCTGTCATACTTCATCTGAAGAATGGYTACTAGTAGTACTTTCATTACCAACAGTAGCTAGTAGTACTACTACTAGTACTACTACTATTGATTTGAACTTACTAGCTATGTTTAAAGTGATGTCACCACTTCTTTTCTTATAATAGGGAGTGGTAGTAGTACTAGTAGTAGTACTACAAGTACTAGCTTGACCTGACAGTACTACCAGCACTTCTAGTACTACTAGTAGTACTATTCTATTATGCTTACTTGCCAATCCTGATTGCAGGGGCAGTGCGAGTGGTAGTATTGCTAGTTTTTGTTGCTGTTGTCGTATCCTATATCAAAACATGCTGTTAGGCACACGTGCTGCCTTGCTTGCTGGTTGGTTTGGCGCTTTGGTGGTAGTGCAAGTCCTACTAGTACTGATATGGACACTCATCTCTACAAAAGTCACTGCTGCTTCATCATGAACATCATCAACATAGATTGCCTACCATTCCATTCTTCTTAACTAGATAGTACAGTACTAGTTGCTCCCAGTGCTCGTTCTTCTTTTTCAAAAATCTATTCTGTAATCAACAAGGCCGCGGATAGAGTACCCACDGTTGTGCTTGTCCAAATAGGAGAACCGCTGTGGTTTCAGCAAGATGGAAGACGCRTTGCTGTATCATCTTGCGGTATGGTTTCATCCGCCTTCAATGGCACTGGTCGACCAAGTCCTCGGCCTTGGAAATGCTCTAGCAGAGCTGGGGATGAGATTCGACGRGTGTTTGGAACTTGTCGACCGATCGATCGTTTTGATGCTATTCTTCTCGCCTTTCCCGCGACTGGTGGTGCCATCCGGTGGCACAGGCATGCCTGTATTTCTTTCGCAGACGCGTGTTCGGTTCCAAGGAACTCGCTTTCTCCTCTCTCATCCGACGCGAGATGGGGCCATTTCACGGGAAGGATTTGGTCGGTCGGTCGCTCGTAACGCCTCGTGCTAGAAGGATTTACTCTAGGCCGGGCTCGACGGATCCGTGCTTCCTTCGGTGGTGGACGGTCCGTCGGTGTCGGTTCGAAGAACCCACTCGACGTCGATCTCGCATCCGCTCGCCAGGATCRTGTTGGCAATCGGGCACCGCGCCTCGGTTTGCTCTTTCAGGATCGAGAGCTCGTCCGGATCGAGCCGCAGCTCGGTGCGCGTCGTGGTGTTCGGTGCCCCGCGGCCGYGGYCGTGGTCGYKGTYCTTGTTGTCCYTGTCCCTTCTCGCCGGGGTGGTGTGGTGATCCACCCGGTGGGCCGCCACCAAGATTCGCCCCGTGATGCGCTGCAACCGGGAGGGCGTCTCGGGCGTTCGAACRATCGGCAGTTCCAGCGCCCCCCGTTCGTCGCGAAAGGCCCGGATGCATTCAAAGGCCAGCAGGAGCTCTACCGTGCTGCGCCGCTTTCGTCGTCGTCGTTTCGATGTTTGTGCTGTTTGGTTCCGCGGTTCGGGTTCGCCCGTTCCGGCCGTGGGGTCCTCCCGCGGCGTTCGGTCCCTCGGTTTCTCGGCGAGCAGCTGCCTCCCCACAAAGGACGCCGTGGCCTGGGTGCATCCCATCCAGGAAGCCAGCAAGAGTTCGACGGGTTGGGGCCCGAGGTTCTGGCCGCCCATGGATTTTGGAACGTCGGTGGTGATCTGGTGTCCTTCGGTGCCGTGGCCGTTGGTGTTGGTGTTGGTGTTGCCGTTGCCGTTGCCGTGGCCGTTGGTGGAGACTCGGACGCTCGTTCCGGTGGTGCCCACCCCCTCGAGCGAGTAGGACTTTGTGCTTCCCGGCTCCGTTCCGTTCGGATCCTTTCCGGACGCAGGGGCGGAGGCAGAGAAGAGTCGCAGCTGCTTCCGCCTCGTGCCACGCGTTGTGGCAAAGGCCGTCCCGCCGCTGGGAACGGTTGCCAAGGGCCGGGCTTCCCACCGAGCCACCGAAAGGGACCGCAGCGGCAGCGGCACCGGGGGCGGTGCGGGCACGGGCGGGGCCGTCGGGACGGACACGGACATCGACATCGACAAAGACATCGACATCGACAAAGACATGGACACGGACGAGGAAAGAACGAGTCGAATCCACGGCGGTCGCATTCGCGGCCGAAGATTCGAAACCGCAACGTGTCTCGGTGATGGCAGGATTGGCAGCATTCCAAGGCAACGGGAGTGGCAGTTGTACCGTACGGTGTTTCTCGTGATTCGGGCTGGAGGCTGGGAGTGCTAGTGAGAGACGGTTTGTCGGGGGCAAGAAAACAACAACCCTCACCCCAGGAGGAGCATTGCCGATTTCCAGTTGGGGGGAATCATGGAAGTCGAAAAGAAAAAAATACTAGAATAGTTTTTTTCGACTGGAACAGTCGATGGAAATGAGGAGTCGAAGGGAGTGAAAACATTACAATCCAAAATCCGGTAACGCATTCCTTCTAAAGTACCGGTAGATAAAATAGATACCAAATGAATGGCTGTTGATTTGAGAAGATATTATAAAGTTTAGGGAAAGAGATGCCCCTTCTTTTAGTAATACGACAACGTTTTGACTTCCACCACTTGCAGCAGCGAGCGAACTGCATAAGACCTATTCTGAATTCCAAGGTCCCCCTTCCTGGTTCGGAAAACAAATCCAAACAGGAAGTGATTCTCCTTTTCTATAAAATGTGATCATGGGGGATGACGACATCAAAGGTGATGATTGSCGTTTGTCTTGTGTGCATTGTGCATGCAATAATCAACCAGTGAGTCCTGGGAAAGAAAAAACAGGAAAATAGTCAACTTCTCCTTATACTAGTAGCAAACCAGTTGCTCAAATTGCTTTTGGCTTAGCCTAGTTTGTTACTACTTCTATCATACTAGTAGAACCTACTGATGCTACCAAGACTATTCTCACCAATCCTGGTAGTAAACCTAGCAGTACTAGTAGAAAACCATTGTGTTCTGGGAAAACAAAACAAACCTTGCTAAGTTACTGTACTTGTTTTACAAAGTCGGTTCTCACGGTCCAATGCCACCGCCAGCGGGTACTTGCTGAAAAWGCGATCAACTGTGATCACGTTCCTCGGCGTCCTCGGGTCACGACTTTTGCAATCCTCTTTGGTCTCAATTTTCAGACGATTCGTCTTCGAAATCGACCCGCTCGGCTGTTACCCTACAACACAACAACAACGAAAAAACAAGCAAAGGAACGGTCAGGGCGAATCGACAAAGCGCAAGAAAAAAAAAGAGCCGACGAGGAAGGAATCACCATCGCCATGGCGGTGTGTGAAACGAAACGAAACGAAACGAAACGACGAACCAAACCCAATCCGACCCAACCACAGAGGCTACGGGACGAGAATACAGCTCGTGCACTGCGCGCTGGCCAACACCGACCACAAAGCTGCGTCAAATACAGTACGGTACGGTAGAGAACGCACACGTAATCAAATCCGAGCTCGATGCGCCTTCCCCTCTGGATTTTTTCGGTCGCGGCGTAGCTTTGTTGTTCGAGGTCGTCCAGGGTCTTTTTCATTTCGTTGGCCAGAGCCCGCGAGGGGAACCTCGGGAGTTTGTGGCGTGCCACGTTGATTTGTTTGACGATCGTGGTGTGCCGATACAGTATAGGGAATTCCTTGGAATCGATGTGTTTCAGTCGGGGAGCAGCCGTTCCCGCTGCCAATCGGTCCACCTGCCTCTCGATCCAATCCTTTGGATATTCTCGGTAGCACCGATCTCCCGCCAGCAAGATACAGGCGTCCCGGACCTGGCGGACCTTGCAGATAATGTTCTGCGGAGCCCCYGGATTTTTTGCGTCGTACACGTCGGGTATCGGTTGGAGACCGACAATGTACAGGCGACCGCCGGGCTTCAGGCGGCGGGCCAGTTTTTCGATCATTTGGTCCTGTGAGAAATGGCCCGGCGGAAATCCTGCCATGGCTCCTATCAAATAGTCGGCCAGAATGGTGTCGTAGAGCTTGGTGGCCCTTCCCTCTGCCGCGGCCGCCGTTTCACCGCTGTCGATCTCGTTGTCGATGCTGAGCAGGCTCTGCCGATCGTCGTTGTCGGGTGGAAACCAGTTCCCAATGACAACCCTGCCGAGGTGCGAGATTCCGAGCTCGTCGGCTTCCCTTTGGACGTTTCTCCGCATGGTTTCGTCGGCCGTCACCGCGGTGAAGTCCGTCATGTTCTTCTCGCCGTCCTCGTCGTATTCGCCGCCCAGCGTCGCTATCCATCGCAGCGAGTGCAGCCCGGTTCCGGCGTCCAGAAACGACCCAAAGGGCCTCGTTCCCTGCAGTTTTTCGATGTGCCCAAAGAGGCTGTCRCCCGATCCGTAGACCAGCCGCTCCTTCGCAATTCGTTGTTGTTTTGGCGTCAGCGAAGACATGGTGCGAACAAAACAAGCGGAGAAGAGTCCCGTCACAAAAAAGGCAGCMGGGAGAGAGAGTGTTCCGGCAAGAGCTCTGCGGCCAAGAACCAGATTCATAGAAAAAAAATAGTAGACTACTATGCAACACGCTTGGTAAACGAAGTTTTGTGTTGAATGGGAGGTAGGCGACGGGCGATGWATGATGGTTCATGCAACGCATCTGGTTTCTTCGTTGTGTCAGAATACAGTATCAGATTTCGAGCAAAGGAAGTTCATCTCCCGCTCGGTTGATTCTCGATTCACAATTATAGGCCGTCTGATCCATCACAGCCATCCGCCAAACTCGTACGATTAACTACGTACGATAACGGTAAGGTACGGTACGGTACGGTACCTACGCGTTGCGTATCAATTGAAATCACAGGTACGGGTTTCACAGGCCATTCCAAATAATGTTAGAATTACAGTACTGTAGTAAGGTTTAACGTTTCGAATGCTGATATATTAATATATCACTCAAGGCATACRTAGATCCTAGTATTATCCTCGTTCTGAATGCTGGAAATGTTTAGATAAAATTACATTTCTAGTACAATGACTTTCCAGAGGAATGGTTCAAATCAAACATGATGTTGCTCCATGACAAAATATGATGTAATMGAGGAAAAGCGTAAAAGCTACGGGGGTAGAAGATAGACAAGCACACCCCAAGAAATTTGCTCCAACAAAAGTTGTTGCCTGCTCCTCCTCAATAGATACCAGAATCGATCCAATGGTACCAAATAATAGATCTGATGAGCTCCTAAAATTGAGATCAGCGACAGAAATAGCTGCTGCTACCAATCTATCCACCCTAGTGGATGCACAATCTCATCCTCGTTGTAGGAAGCCAGAGTGGCTTTTCAAGTGMATCTCGGCGCGTAACAGTAGAAGCAGGCAATGCCATGCCACCCCAGAATAAGCCGACTTCAATGGAAGAGGTCCAATCCCACAAGATGCTTTTGTTTTCGAATGTCCCATGCAATGCAACACGTTSTCTTCCGAGGTMGGTCCCGGWRRTCGGCCCCGGCCGTCGCTCGTCATCGTCCTCTTGGAGGTTGGGAATGGTTCGTGGCYAGCCAGACAAGGGGCAGCGCGGCGGCCACAACGACGTACGGGATCCACGATCGGGAAGAGGACGACGGCGATTCCGTCGTCGATCTCTTGTTGTTCCGATCGTTCTCTTTGCACGGCAGCAACGGGGTTGACTCGCTTTCTCCCGCATGCAAGGAGATCGAACGCGTTTCGTCGCCTTTTGCGTCGTGTTCGATCGCTCGTTGTTTCTCTTCGTCTTGTTTCCAAGCCATTTCGTGATTGGAACCACGGGTGGGTGCCACGGGCACGCCTTCGACCTCTACGGCATCATCGTCGTTGTTCTCGATTGGAACCTGTTCTTTGGCAAGGAATGGGTGTTTGTCTTCCCCGTCGTTCTGTATGTCGTCTTGTGCTTTGGTTTCTTCTGGGTCTTCTTTGTGGTCGGGCAAAATATTGGAAATGAATTCTCCCATCATAGCTTTCTCGTCTTTGTCTTCGTCGCCACCAGGATCTGGCGGGCTGTGGGCAGTGTCTTCGGTTGCTGCTAGTAGGTGCCGACTGTCCTCTTTATCGGTGGTGATGTCGCTATTTTTTCCTTTGGCGTTGCCGTTGCTGTCACCATCGCCATTGCTGCTTGGTGATGCATTGTCTTCAATTTTTTGTTCGTTGTCATCAACCACGAAATTCGAAATAAACTCGGCCATTTCCTCGTCATCGTCATCAATAGCATAAGGAATAATGTCATTGTTGTTCTCTTTGATGTTCTGCTTCTTTTCCTGCTTTCGTTCTTCTGCTTCGTCTGACAAAAAGTTTGAAATAAACTCGGCCATTTCCTCATCATCGTCATCTTTGTCGTCACCATC